ACCCCCCAGGTTAAGAACCGCTGGCTTAACCCCTGCACCGTCTATCCGTACTGCATCCACCCATCCACCCCCCCCCCTAATCCCCGTATGCACGGAGATTGTTTCGTTACGGAAAAGTACGTATTAGGTGAGGTCACGTAGAGGTCAATGTCACCATCACGTGGTTTTCCGACGCCGTATCTATCCGTAATATTTTCTGGAGGCGTTACTATGGCGACGCTATCGGGATTAATCTCCTGTTACCATGCAGGGTGGTTCAATACTCAGCGGACGTCAACTTATTAAATAGACACGTGTAAAAGTATTATTTCTTAAATAAATCAAAAAAAATAAAAAGTAATGTAGACAAATTAGGATTCACTTATTAGCGAATATGTTAATGAATACTCCAGTATAAAAATTACCATGAGTTTATGCAGTTATGGTATATAAAATAGTAAATAAGTCAGCCATATTCTTAGTGTCGCTGGAATAGCTTTCGCGACTACCAGAAAAGACGCCATTTTTAGACGGAGTGGTTCTAGACTGGTACAGCGTTCCTTTACCTTTATGCAAATAACCATAAACGAAGTGGCATTAAAAAGACGTTAACACACATCTGTATACGAAGTCGGTCCGTCAAAATATACAAAAATAATCTTTTTTTCTAATCAACTGGTTTATTTTACAATTCTATTTCCTGGGTGGTTTTCGAGTAGCTTGAAGTTGCGTTTCTCGATAGGTCCTCGCTATAACTATATAATTATTGGAAAGCTTATCCTTTTGTTGGTTACCTGCATGTATGTATACGTGTATGTGTACGCACTTGCACCTGTCTTTGTGGGTGTGTTTATGCGTACGCATGCTCGTGCGTACGCATGTTCGTGCGTGCGTGCGTTCGTACGTGCGTGCGTATGCGTGTTCGGGTGTGCGACTGTGCGTACGTGCGTGCGTGCGTGTGTTTGTGTGTGTGTGTTTGAGCATGTAGTGTCGTTAGATCACTGTTGTGCACATAGAATGCATGGCTAGCGATACATCTAACGTGTGCATTGATTTGTGGACGTCTACGTGAAATTCCATTCTTTTTCTACGTGGCATTTTGGTGGTAGATTTCATTCATGGTTTCATAGACATTAGCCAGTAATTCAGGTTCGGTTTGCTGAAATCAGTTCAATTCTAAAGCCAATATCTCATCTTATCTATCGTAGACTCAGACGATATATCACTTATAGCGTTTATGATCATTTCTTCATCTGTTCTATCAGTTCAGTGCAGGATAGACTTTTTAAGCAGTCATCGCTGTAAAAATATCAGGAGTTTCAAGTCACGACACTTTAAAACCAATTTGCGATGCTCAACATCTCCCTTGCTATGTTTACGTTAGCTACGCAGGTGATCTAACAAATTAGGTTTCGGATGGCGAGCCGCACCACTCCGTAATAACACGTGGTTGCACTCGGCAAACACCGGAATTGTTCGGTAAACATCGGGTGCACGCAGGGTTATTGGCTGGCTGCTGCTCTTTATATGGACACATTCGTCGGGCAACCCAGATTCCTATCTCTTATTATTGCGTGAAGCTGCGGCATGTCAAGGTGACCTCAAATTAAGCGTGTAAATGGTGTAAAGGTTGGGCTGTAGCTGCAAAAAATCGGATGATTGCAT